TCAACACGCTCAACCATTTCACTCCATATCATTAAACTAACTAGGAGACAGTGAAGAACATTCTTCTATATTCATCTTACATTCGACATGAGCGGATCCCATCCCAAACATGCTAAGAATTCTGATCAATATGTTCACAAAACTGTCTACATTTTTCCACTGTCTGCATACTCCGAATCGACAAGACTTTCCCGTCTTAACAAGTTAATTCGCATGTCCCTGAAGTCGATTAGGGTCAGGTGAAGACCCTTCTTAAGCCCTTACATGACCGTATGAGTTTGAGTAGTGTTTCTCCTTGTGTTTGAAATTAGTGTTGACGAGGAACATATAATTATCTGGAGAGAATTGTAAAAGACGATCACTGTTGCCAGTTCGTCGGCATCAGACTCTATAGCTGCCACCATTATACTTTTCTGAATAACACAGCTTTCCTACTTGTCCACCCTGAACGATGGTCATACAACCGAGCAGTTTGTTGAAATTCCTCATCATTGCCGATGGGTAGTTACAAGTTGGGAGAGATGATATGGGTCTTTTTGTTGTCACTGGCAGCATTACCAGCCAATTCAAGTAATTCAGCGGCCAGGACAGCTGCCAATCAGATGGCAGCACGGCTAAGTTTAGTTACCCTAGCGCAACAGGTGAAGCGCACGCCCAACTTGGAACTGAAGACCAGCGCGAGCGAATCGAGTTTAAGCCTTAGCGCTTGATTTTTCACATTTGCCGCAACCACTCATGATTTACGTTAGGGCAACCATCTAGACAGCGGAGATTATGAAAAGACACTGACGGACATCACAATCTTTCCTTCTTCTAAAGGAACCGTTCAGCCGAGAAGGACAAATACGACTATCCACTGGGACCCAATCCACTTATCTCAGCCTAAGCAACTGGGTAGCAGCATCAGCCTTCACATGGTAAGTGTGGCTCTTAACTTGATACATAAAAGATCTGTCCCGGGTAGCTGAGTTCTAACAACATCCAGTTGAGAAAGCATTTCTCCGCTCTAGCACCCAATGCTATTCCTACACCAGCAAGTTCATGAGAATTAGCCAAAGAACCTCTTGAATTCTGTAGATTCACTATACTGGCTAGGTGGATTTAGGTGAATAATCACACTTGCGTCTTGTATGTGTCTCCGAAATACAACATACATCCATAGCTCGAGAAACCAGATTTCTGGCTAGTAAGGCCAGTTGTATGATTGGGCAGAGTTCGGGCATTGAATACTCCAACAAAGAGTTGGCAAAATGGCTTGGAGAAATGAAGATGGATGACAATTGGGACAGCTTTGTGTGCTTACGGAAGTGTGTGGGTGGTTATTACTCCTCGGCTGCCCACAGCGAGGATGTTGATTTATTATTGGGATACCTGAAACACAAAAGGAATTAGTTTTACGTGACCGAAGAGCCCAGGAAACAACTGCTTGAGGCATGTCACATAGGTCTTGTTTGAAGTAGAACTTCAAGTTGAGTCCGTAAGAGGGACTCACCGCCGTAAGGTAACTTGGGATGTACAGTTCTTAGGGTAAACCTTCTCCTTCTCCCCAGAGATGAGACAACATGACTGACTTGCTGGTCATCTGAGGGAAACACCTTACTGCTATTACATCCCTAACAACCAGCACTACAACTTCACTCTCAAATCGCCAACATAATATAAGCGAATTACACTGATGGTCACTATTTTTAAAACCATATACTACTGATAGAGATGAGTAGTCGTAAACCGCTCACATCAACCCGCAGTGGTTGCTAGCTAAATTAAAGTGATCTAAACACCGGACGGCCATTTCGCTTATTTGGGGCTCAGCTTTTCAGCAGCATACCCCAGTATGACTCAGCCGATCACATACTGTGATGCGAATAATCTTGGTTGCGCCAAAGGAAACTGTAGCGAAATTTCACCTTCTCGAACTGTGTAAATTGCAAATTCCCTTTTTAGTCTAACCATTATCTGAACGACTTACCAGAGTGTTAGGATCTGCACCAACACCAGTTCCAGCCAGTGTAGCTCATTGAGTCACTGCGTTATGCCAACCGAACCGCTAGGTCAAGATAGCAGCTATAAAAATCTACTACATTTAAATGACCTTTAACTACAAATTATCTACTATCTCTACTACTGTTTCCATAACACTGGTTAATAACTCGGATAATAAGTTTCTTTCGGATGACTTTTGCTATTCTCCTTAGCCAAGTAATAACTACCCGCTCCCTAGATAAAAATGAACTTTTCATCAAAAGGCTGGACACATAAGGATTTTGCCACTACTTGTTTCTGAGGTCCGACAAGTAGTGGATACAACTGTGTAAAATAAAGCATAATACAACTCCACTGAAGTACTCCAAAAGCAATAGCAACCTTCCAGTGATCTCCATTGACCATACAGAAAAACAAGTTTCGGTATTTATTTTTGGCTTCAGGCTAGTGGTTGCCAAATGAGACAATATCTTTTCACGTATGAATTTAATACTAGTCAGAAACAAGTCAGCGTTCCAACACTATTGTACGAGTTGATAAGCGTTGCTAGTTTGTCGTCACTGGCCTACATTGATACGCCTTATGGGCTTTTCTGATATGTTCAACCTCAATACTAGAAGATGAAAATAAATCATATCCGGTTGTTTTGTTTTCCTCAACGGATGTAGTTGCATTGAGTAAACATCGAGGGTGACACGTTTTAATAGGAAATACAGTCAGAGTAGCTGTGTTAGATGTTACGCTGAACTGACCTAACAACGTAGAACTTCATATCAGAGAACTTTGGTCACCACCTAAAAACTGCAGAGACAGATTATCATGTCAAACGATGACGAGTAACTGAACAGAATAAAGATAAAAACAACGGAAAAAATATTGCAGGAGAGCAATACGGTTCAAATGAAAACAAGAAAATACCAACAGTCATATGATTATAATAATTTGAATAAATAAGTAAGCAATTTATAATGGAAGAGATTCGCATGTTTGTAAGGCTCTACCAAAACTTACCAATTTTGACCTTATCAATCTGTTCTACTGCTTCTCTAGCCGCTTCTTTTTCCTTCAGTTGCTTTTGACGTTGTTTTTCTTTTTGTTCCTCCAATTCTAACTCTTGTCTTTGTTGTAATGCACCTCGTTTACGGACGACTAGACATTCATCGTGCAATCGGTCTTTTCCAATAGATAGAATTAGTAATTCATATTCAGCTGCAAGCTAAATCAAAGACATGTAGTCTGATTAGGTGAAATCTTGATTTTTATTTGTTCGAAGTAGTTTTGTAGTCCTTATATACACATATAAATACAGTGTAATATCTCTACTGAACTACCGTCTCAGTAGTTTGACCATTACAACAGATAATCTTTTCGTTTGTTTAAGTTCCTGGTTATATGATGATCTAGCAAACTGACTGCAGCCTTTTGCCATGAACAACTGGATTTACAAATGGTAAATTAAGAAATACTGTTTCTGACAAATAAATATTTTTAAGTCTCCTAGGTATTCTACAGCTTTTTTAGATTATACTTGTGATTCTGACCAAGGTTTTCTCGAGAATCATGTTGACATAACTAAAAGCTTTTGACCGTGAAAAGTCATATTAACTGTGTAACATTTGAACAACTTTATTCCACTATGTCTATGTAGTACAGTCTGTTTTATTAGGTGGTAATAAAACCTACACTATTTAGGAGATAAACTGGTGGGCTGTGGTGTACAAGCCCACGCCAGGTAGAGGTTTAGAGCAAAAAACTTTCAGTCATTTAAGTGAACTTTAAGATGAGTTAAAAGTTAGGTTTAGTAACACGCATCTTTCGCACTAAATTCGTACCATATATTCTTAAGGAAGGTGTCGACTTCCTGGTTGGAGTACTCAGGACGATAAGAACCAATGAGGACTGGAGACAATTGGCGATATGGCTCAAAATCGTTCTCAGTGACGTAGATGCATTCACTCTCCGCCACTAGTCATGTCCAACGAAGCTCTATCGTTCTTCCACATTACTATGCTTTTTCTCTCACACTTCTGTTTATCTCTCTTTTAAACCCCTCTTCTCTTGCTTTGTGTGCTAAATGGAGTGTGGCAACTTGAACTGCTGCACTTCTGTGCAAAGTTCTGTTGAAACCAGTTAGTCAGTTAAGGGAATTTATGTAAAAACATAAAACTGTAATTTAACTGTATTTATCGATTGTTTAAATCGCTATTAATTACACGACAATTTTGGATTACTTTGATTAATTTTATAATGACGCTACTCATTTCACAAATAACATACAGAAATGAACAAAAACATACCTGTTTTAGTAAACTACGATACATTTTCGCTCCGAATTTGGCAGGCAGTCGTAATTCAATTTCCGTCAAGTTTCGATAAAAAGGCAAAATGTGACACTCAAGCTCCATTACTAGTGGGTCCGCTTGGGTGAAACAACCACCTGTTTTGAAATCACTTCTGTCTTTCTCCATCTTTCTGCTAGCTGGCGCAGTTAGACACGACTTGATATTATTTTGGCACTTATGAGCTTCTTTTTTTCGAGTATTTAATTTTAGTCTGCTTCTCGGGTGTTGTAAACTTGGACCCCCAGGAAGAGAACGAAGAGGAATCGAACTTAAATCAACCATATCCGGAGACTGAGATTCATCTCGTGTTGAAGGCTTTGGTAAAGTTACTGCTGCTTCTTCATCACTAGAGGAACTGAACTGATGTAGGTCATCCTCATTAGCAATATAACAAGAGTTAGAATTTGATAAAGTAATCGAACTAGGTGCATATTCCTTCAAACAATCGTTGGATAAAAAGGATTCTAAACCATCAGTGAACGAGCAAGTTGTATTGGATAAAACACCGGGAACATTCTTGTTATTGTCATCAGAATCACTTTCCACAAAAGTATTTGTATTGAGATCTCTATCATTAAAAAATTCCATGTTATTTTGAGACTCCGAGTCAACAAGCAGGGAAACTGAGTCGATGATACGTCGAATCATAACCAAAGGTGGCCTATACAAATCATACTACAGCCTAAAAGTTAAAAATAACCTTATTACGAAAAAAGTTCTCTAAAATTATACAAAAATATGAAGTGAACCTAATGGTTTATAGAAAAAACTGCAGCAAGTAAATATTTGGAAATTTCAAAATCCTATGTACTTGATACATTAAAATGAAATTTCTGATTCCAATATGTGAGCCAGCGCTGAAAAGTGCATTTGTGTGAAATCGGAATTCGATAGAGAAACTTAAAGCACAGTCAAACACTAGCTGTTAAAAATATTGTTAAATATTTCTTTTGAAAACTATGAAAGCACATAGAGTAAATACTGGTAAACACTAACGTATGTATATGCCCTCTTTATCTGCATTAAATACATAGGCTGGTGATACAGGCTTCTTTTTTAAAGCCAAAACAAATAGCTTAACTGAAAGTCAACCAACGTATAGTAGAAGCAAAAACAAGACTTCTGAAAGCATTTTTGTATAAAAGCGTAGCGTTCTCAATGGCCCAGATGCATCCACTCCTTGTGACTCATAATTTCCAATGAAACTATATTGTTCTTTGTTATTACTATTCCTTTTGTCTCATATCCCTGTCTACTGTCTCTATTTTGCAATTCTTCTCTTGCTTTGTGTACTACATGGAGTGTGGCGACTCGAACTGCTGCACATCGTTGCAAAGTTCTACGTCGAAAACAGACAGACAGAAGTGTAAAATAAACGTTATACGGTTTGTTAAACTCATCGTTAATTAAGGTTTTATTAATTAAATAAGGGTTTCATGCAAGATCTTTTGCATGTAAAGCCAGAAGTATACTAGTACATGAACTTTACACCCATTCTGTGCACTAGAAGTGTTAGTAACTACACGCTTAGAATTTATTACCTTTAAATTGATCACTCTTGGATGAAGTACACTTTCAAAAGGTACCAGACTCTATTGTCTTTCTTTCTTCTTCCAGTGATAACCCTCTACTTTCCTGATAACATACTGTTCACTCCTGCTTCTTTCGAAGTGAGGTAAGGTGGGGTTGTGTTGAGTTGGTTTAGGCAATCGACTTCCAAATACTTAATATTCGTGTAGAAATTGGGCACTGTGGTAGAATACAATTCCATAGTAGATAGGTTTATTTTAATAATCACACAGTGATGCAGTATTAACAATGGGATGACATTTCGAGCATAAATTACAACTCATAATCATTTCGATTTAGTCACACGGTTTCACAATTTGCATCATGTATATTTTCTCTTTCTGTCTCTCCAACTTCCCTTTGTTGTTTGTTGCCGCATTCCATATCTCCGGTATAGACGATGCGTTGCGTCATTTCGATTGCACATGCGCGGTGTTGAATCGATAAATAAAACTTCACTGATTAACCTCTCTCTCCACCAAACTATATTAATTTTTAATACTCTCACCCTGTCCCACCCACTCTATCATGTGATTACATGCAAGTGAATGCAGTGCAATTACTGGGCTTTTTTCTAGGTTACTTACCTTAGCAGGGTCAATGATTCTAGGTCTAGCAAAAATTTTATGTTCCAATAATATGGTTGACTTATCTACTAGTTTGACCTATGTAATTGACCTCACAGTCACTACATGGTATTTGGTAAGTTATACTACTTTTCTTAATTAGATCTATTGGATCCTTAAGCCGACAAAGTTTATCTTTGAGAGAGTTGGTTGATTTAAATGTCACCCTAATTTCAGCGTCATTGAGAATTCTACGTAAGACCTCTGACATCCCTTCTTTATACGGCAGTACTACCGAGGCTTTGAGCTCCATATTATTTTCGTCACTTTTATTGCTAGTCTTAGTTTTTCTATGGTTCTTCATACATTTCTGAATAAATTCTGGTGGGTATTTATTCACTAGTAATGAGTAATAGATCCTTTATTTGTTTGATTTCGTTATTTAAATCTTCTGGCCTACTAGTTGGGTTCGTGAAATATAACTAGAAAAGCAAATGTAATAGGAAGTATACCCACGGCAGGTGAGGGTAAATGATCAAATCAATCCTACTGACCCCTTTACTAACCACTACCCTTAAGTATACTGCTCATAGCTAATACTGTGAAGGTGGCACTATCTGAAAATGAAAAGTTTACTTTGGTATGAAGTTTTGGAGTTATGCGGAATGATAGCGCACTACCATGCCCATAATTATATCAGTGTACTCACACAACTCCCTAACTTGCTTTACGTACTTCAACTTCTAGTTTTAGACAAAATTCTCAGCACTGGGTCATTTCGATTACCTGAGGTGGTTATTCATTAGATTTAGTCATCAGTCTTTCCGACTTTACGTAGGATATGAGGCGTTTCAATAGGATTCTTAAGCCGACAGAGATTGATTCTGAGTTCGTATACTTAAATGCTACCCAAATCACAATCTTATTAAAGGTGCTACATGGAGCTTTATACGTCACTTGGACGTTTTAGTCATATTTTCGGTAAAACGTTGGTACTTACTGAAATTATGGCATCTTTACACTTACTAAAAAAGAAATACGACATTATAAGGGAAAATTGACTTCCACCCTAAGTTTAACCTCCCACCACACCCTCAACGCTAATCGCACTCTAGGAAAATCTTGAATCTATAGCTATCTGGAAGAATTCTCAGGATAAAAACATTCGTGAAAACAACGGATGCTAGAAAACAACCATCGGATGAGATTCTGAAGGGTACTTAACAAGTCTTCCGCGTACCAGTTGGTATCTCCTAAAGAGAAAGGCGGAGTTTCGAAGAAGTAATAGTAACCAGCTACCACGAATACTACACATCCGAGTGCGAAAATCGGGACTAGGATTCGTTACAAACACCAGGTATGGTAGCGAGGGTTTCCGAAACATTGGATGCTCGGGTTTCGTAAAGACAGCGAGTTATAAAAAATGACAAGAGTGGGAAATGATGAACCACTTTTTGTGGCAAAATACCATTCCATGATCACAGAAAGCCATGTTAGTCATTTGCAGTGAATGGTATCCCGAGCAACTAGATACGCAACATATGGTAACAAAATATATACTTTCTACATTTTCTGTTTAAACTGGTCGTTAAAAATCCTCGGAAAAAACCAAACTAGTCTAGTGTCTGGGGAACTTACAGTGAATCGACAAAATCACACAAAAATCCAGAGTAACACACTTTTAGTAAGGCGCGGGTGCTATCTTCAGTTTTCAATATTCGCTAGACGAGCTGATATGAAACATGTGATTTTTTAGCACTCCCTACTTATTGTTTAGAAATGGTTCTAGATCTCTAGCAGATATTAGTAGAAAGCATTCTGTTGACTGAGGCAATGTGATGCATCCAATATGATTTAGATTATAGTATGCCCTTGAGGCGTTCATTTATCCTTGCAGTATACATCTGTGAAGAGATCTGACTCCTCTTTGAAAGTGATCCCTGATGGAACGTATACTACTCAACTGGTTCAGGAGTTCGAGTCATTAACCTTTCCATGTCAGAATTTAAATGAACACGCAATTTATTCGTCTGCATTTCTTGCATAATTTGTCCGCAAAAATATCCTAGAAGCGGAAAAAAGTTTGTAAAGGTTAATCCAAAAACCACACTTTAATATACTTTATATTTATGTGAAGTCGCACCTCCCTCTCCAGTATGATGTTTAAATATTCCAACCTCTTCTCATAAGGAATATCGATTTAATTTGCTTCCAGCCCATTCCACCATTTCCAAAGCACGTGTCTCCTTCCTGAAGCAAAACTGGCAGCTTGTATACGGTAATCTTAGTTATGCTTGACACATATTGACTGCACCACCTTAAATATAAACACATCTGCCTGTTTGAAAGCCTTCCGGAGTACCGACAGCACTCATAAAACCTTGGTTGTGTCTGTATCAAGACGTGGCATAGTTTTCAAATCACTACCGACAAAAATCCCTAAGCTTTTCTCCCTTTGACATTGGGCAGTTCCATGCCCTTCGGAAAGTACGGTGTGTAAGAATTTTGACCAAAGTGCGTTACCGCAACTTTTGTGCTATTCATTCCCGATCTGTACAGCTTAGGCCACTTAGTTAACTCATCTAGATCACCTTTTAAAACTGACCTGTCATCACGATTATCTAAATTTTTCAAAATCCTCAGGTGATGAGAGTTTTCAGCAGTCCGCTTGCATATAACAAGAATTAGAAGGGGACTGGTAACGTACCCTGTGATACTCCAACTTGACAGTACATCAGTAACACTGACTTTTGCATTCGGTATCACTCAAATAGGCATTGGTTTGATGAAAAAGACTTTGTTTTTCTGACCAAACCTACTAACAAAAGTACTAGCCTTATATTGCAAAAAACGTTAACTCAGCGTACAGAATTCGCAGCCCATTTACTTGCGTAAAAGTTTCAATTCATCCAGAATCTTCAAGTCAAGTAGCACTCTATAGCACATTATACGAAACAGTGTCGTTTTGTTTTCAACATGACCTAATCCCACACGACATTTTCCCTCCATCTTTGTGAAATGTGTACCGGTAGTTTGAAAGCCGACCACAAACATGTGTAGCTACGTTCGCGTCTCAAAAACATAACTTGTTGAAGCTGTGAGAATTGGAAAAATTGATGTGTACCGTGTTGGATGGCAATTCACATATCCCGGTAACTTAACAGGACAATGAATCAAATGCTTTAACAATATCGGTAAAAGCGCTGTCTAACGGCAGGTTTTTAGTCCCAGCCTCTGACCTGGCGTTTCCCGAAGAACATTAAATTTGTCGGGAGGGGTAAACAAGGTCGGAATCTATGCCATTCCTCATCCGGCGATTCATGTTTCTCCATATTAGCCAATAGATGATCTCTTTAGATTGTTTCTGGTCAGACTCACAGGCCGGTAGTCAGATACCGATTGTCTGTTACCCCCTCTGAAGATGGAGCTCATAACTGCACCCTTATCCATGAAGCCTGTTATTAATATTATACGTGTTCGTGCACAACGTTGCACCTACATGTTCGTTCGACTTCTGAATAGAGGATTTGGCAACATAAGTTTCTGAGGCCTCACCACCCAAAAAACCATAACCGTGGGGTCTTTTCCCTCTTCTTCTAACTGAGCTTTCAATTTCGCCGTGGCTTCCCTCTCATTAATTTAATCCTCGATGGCCAATCAGGCCTAGTTCTCAACGTTCTATCCCCAATCTTAAGTGCATTGTTGAAAATAATATCCTTCTCCATCTCTTTCCCTTATGCTATTTTCAGAAGTTACCGAGAACTTTCCGTAGCATCAATATTTCTTTCCCCGATTCTGATGACCTTTATCACATGAACTACATTTCTTATGTCAGGAAGTAGGTCATGATAAATAGAACCAAATGCCTCCAGATGATGTGCATCGTAAACAGCTGGATCCAAGTGATGCTTTAACTGGAATGAGAAATCGAAAACTGTATCTCCACCTTAGAGACCCTATTTCTCCTGTAGTTTCTTACCCTCTGAATTTTTAGGACTGCCTAAAAGGAGTTGGTTTCATTTGAAGGAACCGACTTTTCTATCAGAATAATTATTCAAATTACCGACTGACAACTCGTAAAATTACAGAAGACAAATAGTGTTTCTGAGTCTGTAATTTCGAGGGTAGGGCAGTGGGCAAGTAAGCAGGAGAAACCAAGTCATACACACGGTAGGTGATTCGTCATTCGATGGATAAAGAAGGGCTTAAAAATTATGATTCAAATATAGTTCCTGCTTGGTTACTGTTCTCATCCCTCTGAATTCCCCGGTTAATCAAGACAACTGAGCGGCCATGGTTTACCATGCTTCCACTGTGCTCCTGCCGCGACCAGGGGCCACTTGACAGGCCACACTTCACCGCAGAATCTTCACCGGATGGCATTACAGTGCTGACACTACTTGCCTCCTTGGAACTTTGAGTTTTAAAACGTGTCTTGACGAAAGATTTTTGAGCATACTGCACCTCTTTGTTGTTCATTACATGAAGGTGTAATTCTGCTCAGTCTTATGGCTCATTCCAGAACTGTCATTACTGTCAATGCTCTGGGATGCTGGCTTCCTTTTATAGCCACTATCTTGGTTACAAGAAGACTCGTGTCAGTTTAAAGTGACTAAACTACACAGAGCTGAACATACACAACGCTACAAAAAACCTGACAAGTCATAAAAAGCGAAAAAAGTTTGACAGTTAGTTAACTTAATTTAAGTTAACCCAGAGGGTTATCTCAACGAAAACCGAAGTTACCGTGTGGTGAGAGCTGTCTGCGAGCCAAAATTGTGAACAACAATTGACGTCAATGTTTACGTCCCAAATCGAGGTTGTGAGAAAAAACAAAACAAAGCTTAACCTTGGGGAACTCAACAATCAATCACAGCAGACTTAGCGTGTGCAAATGCGATTTGCAGCTATATATGGATAACTTGGTAGGAAACGGTCACAGAATAACCTTCAGCAAGAAAACAGTCAATCAGAAGACGTTGCTTCTCTGCTAACAATAAAGAATAATAATGTACATAAAAGTCTATAAATATCTGTTGATTTTCTCAATGAACGATCTGTTGCCTGGCCTTTGTCTTCTGCCAGTACGACTTCACAATGTCTAAATGTTATTCTCCTTTTTGAAGCGCTCGTGATCGAATACCAAATTATTTTAAGAAAACATGGTTTGCACCGTGACAGTGAGGCTTCTGAGACCTAAGTATTTCGAGTCGTCGGACAATCCATCACTAAGTTGAACACATACTGTAGAAAAAGGGGGTTCAAAGGGACTGAAAAGGGATTTAAGAAGACAGGTAAACGAAATATGGGGCTGTTATGCGAGAGTAGTTATTGTAGGAGAGGTGAAGAATTGGAATTACACAATCATGTGGCAAAAAGAAGAGAAAAAAGAAAAGAGAAAGAACGACACCAGTAGGCTAAAATATTATACAGAGTCAAGACACAACAATAACATAGGTCAAACCGGACGGTTGGCAAAAAATGTACAACCGTTCCATCCTCTATAATGCAACTTACATTTCGGGATCCACATGTCACGTTTACATAACAGGAATTTTGAATAAACAATCCAAATGGACATGTCAACTTGCAAAGTCGCGAAAGTGCATTACTGAGTTCCTGTATCAGCTTCACTAGAACATTAATGGTTTCAGCTCACTATCAAGTGTTGATACATCCGCAGGCTGCCGACCTCACAACTTCTGATAAACCACTACATCTGACTTCACCCTGTGCCAGTCATGGAGTTACTAAGTTTATACTAGATGGGGGCAAAAGATTCATAAATGTACAACTGGCAACGAGCTGCTCACAGATTTCTGTCTGTTATGTCCCGCGGTGCGTTAAATTCTTTTCCAGTGTTTGCTGCACCAGCGAGGGTGAAGCTGGAAGTTCAGTAAAAATTTCAAAAAATCATAGGAGAGTCTCGTTGTAAGCGGATGTAGGCACTGACGCAGTAAAATCGGAGCATACCGAAAGCATATAAAAACCGTCACTTGTTACTAAACCAACAAAGCGACTGGCATTAGTGCTAAAATTAGAGGGGATATGCAATAAAGCCACTCAAAGAAGATACTGAATTTGTGAAAGCACGACTGATGGAACAAGAGGAGATGTCAAATTATTACACCGAAAGAACTCATCTTGATTAAGTGAATGTGAAGACCTGAAATTGTGGTCATTAGTTATGAATGTCTGTACTGTTGATCCGTTGGTATCTCGTGGCACATGGAAGTCTGTAAAACTTACCGCCTTCAAAGGTCTCTAATCGCTTGATGTTCATCACTTTTTGTTTTTTTCTTAAAAATACTATCCAGGGTGTGTTTAAATAAGCTATTTAATGGACGAATATCAGATCTACTAAATACCAAAATGCATCTTTGTCCATTGTTAGTTTATCTGGCAGTAGTCTCTGACTACTGATTGTCAGTTTGTACTGTCAAAGAACAGTCATTACGGCTTGTCGAGTTTAGAAGATGTTTGCAAGCCCAGACCATTTTCAGAGGACACCAGGTTGTTTTAGGTACATGTCTGAGACCAGTTTTCGTCAACTATGGCGACTCAGAAAAGTAAAATATTTCTGACGCGTGCACACATATAATCAGTCTGTAAGAGATCTGCTTCCTAAATTGATGTTGCGAAAAAATCTTTAGGGGCTAAGGGTGTTGACGTTCACGGATAGTATGAAGTATACTAATGCAAGATCTAATACCCACAACTT